CTGGGCTCTGGGCTTTCCTGAATTAACACTGTCAGTCAACACTGATTGCGATTTCCCACAAAAATTATTTCAGGAACAAGAAAAGTGACTTTTGCTCACTGCCCTGAAACATCGACTAGACAAGCGGCGAAAGCCAGAAGCAGCCTATCTGCGGGGCTTGTGCTGCACCCTTCACTGTACTAAATTCCAAAGAACATTCTGGAATGCTTAAATAAATCAAGGCCTAAGGCAGCGCCGAGCCAGCTCGAGCAATATAGGTTAAATAGTGCCATATGGAAAGACAGACACATGTTGCCCTTTCTGAAACAAAGGAGGAAATTCCTAAACAAATACCCTTTGCTTCCACATGGGAAGGGCTGAAGACAGAGGATTTTTCAAGTGGTACTAAATATTGCTAAAAAAAATTTGTTTTTAATTCTTAGCCATTAAGAAAGAACTAGAGTTTTAACAGAGAACCTCAGTTTTTTCAGTCTCCCTTTAATTGTGTCCTGAAAGCTAACACCACATGTTAGCCTATCTACGCTCACCATCCCTAAGTGAGCAAGAAAATAACAGGACAGCTGTGTGTGAGGGCTGAGCTGACATCAGCAATTCCCTGGGGTTCGAGAAACAGTGAGAGACAAGTCTACCTGCTTCGGAAGGAACAAAACACCACGTTAATTCTGCCTTGAAAATAAAATATATTAATATCTCACCCTATTTTCACCACGATGCGGGGGAACTGTCTGAACTTCACAACCACATACAATACCTAGTTCTTAAAGTGAATTTGACAACATAACAACTTGATTGAATTCCTGACCAAAACACACACACACACACACACACACACACACACACACACACACACTCCAGAAAGAAAATCTATCAGAATGAACACACATTTGGAGTACATATTTAGATACATTAGTAAAATGTATTTAAGCCTGATATAGTTGCCTTTTAAACAATTTATTTTTTCTATTCTCCTGTGTGCTATTTTACTCATTACACATATTTACATGTTTGCCTTCTAAAAATAGTTGCATTTCTCATTACTCCTACTTTGTAATTTTCAGTACCATCGAAATGAAGCCTAAACGCCAGATCATTTTTGGAGAACTACTTTTAAGGAATGTTGAGAGCCACAAAATTACACTTCTGTACAATTGAATGTATGCCGCTGGAAAACATTTCATTCTGGATATAAATACGGCAGCCAGCGCTGGCTCTGGGATGAAGAGCTTCAGCTGCTCAAATCACGTGCAGCCAGATTCAAGGGACAAAGAATACACAAACGCACAGTTACAACTGCTAGTTTTTCCCAGTTTGGCTCAAATATACTTGATAGACCTTCGCAGAGAGTGCAAATCTCAAATGCAAGCAGTGCATTTATTGCTCCCATATCCGTATATTTCCTTCCTATACAATTTAAGACATACCCCTAAAATAGTCCTCTGTGGAAGAAAACTAATTTTAAATAAAGATACTTTTTAAAGACCTGGGATGAGACATTTTAAATTCATAGTGGAAGTTTTTTCTTTATTCTTCCTGTAAGGTTAATTTAATAAATTCCTCATCAATAAACACTGGATGTGATTCTTAGAACGGGTCTGTGACAATTTGCCAATATTCCTGAAAACTGTAAGATATTCATAGCTAGAGTCCAGTAATGGAGAGGCTTTCCCCCATAAATCACTCCCCACCTCTCGGAGAGAGTGGGGGCAGGGTGATCTCTACTCACTCAGGGCAGAGGTCACCCCACCATCAAAGAGAAATGTCCTACCTCCCATACCCCAAACTCACTTGTTCCTGGGACCAGAGAGGCCTGAGGCCAAGGTTTGAATCCAGAAAATGCTGTCAGTCGTGGTCCAAAAATACATCTAAATCCTTACCAGGCTGCTGCCAACGTACTGTTGGCCATGGGTGGAAAGGCTGGAGGTGACAGCCCCAGAGGGAGGGCAGCAGGAAAGGGAGGCCCAGTCACAGGCGTTAGCGCATGCCCCCACTTAGAACCGCCAAGCCAACACAGGAGTCGAGTAATCGCTATTCCCCAAACTCACGGGCAAGCTGCACAGAGCATGGGCACATATCTGCAGCCCACATTTACAGCTGCCTCCTGGAAGCTCCTTCCTGCTGTCTCTCTCCGTGATACTCCTGGAGATATCTTCCAACCACCACCCAGTGAGACCTCAGAACCCACCCACATCCTGACACAGCAATTCACTGGGAAAATGCAAATCCACAAGAGATGTCATTTCCACCAACAGAGTAAGGGTCTGGGAGCCAAAGACGGTCATGCAATTAATTCTTCCTGTTTAGACATTAATAATTCTGGAAGCGCTGCTAGAGATGCTGGGTGCTGGCTGGGCCGCTGGTGTGGTGGAGAAACGCCCTAGGGGCCGGTCCAGCTGGCCAGGCGTCCAGAGCACAGCCCGCAGGCCCGCTGTGCAGACCTCTGCAGGACATTCAGGAAAATGACAGTTGGGTGCACTCTCACCACAGCCTCTTGTGGGAGAGGGGTCAGGGCAGCCAAGAGATGCATTTTGGAAAGAACTGATTCAGTCAGCTGCATCCAGGCGCTAAAATGTATAAACATTTATAGCATGTGAGATAGCTGGTTTTGAAGAAGGAATGTTACTTCTACATTCCAATATTTATAATGCAGATAACCTAATCAAATAAATTTAAGCTTTTCTTCTGCTTTCTTCTATTAGTTCTGTGACTTTTGCTTAAATCGATGCCTATCGTTGAGTTTACATGTCTCCAGCAACGTGGTCATCAAACACCAATGAAAAACTTGTTTCCTTCACATGTAACAGAGATGCTTTATTCTGTTAGAAATCTAGTTACATGATAAGCAAAATGCCAGTTTTAACTACATAATTAACACATGCCCTCTCCTCCAATGTTGAAAACAGAACGAAAACCAAAATAATGTACCGTCTTGAACATTTAAACTAAGCACACCATAACAGAAGAACGCACACGTTCGGACAAGCTCCTTACTGCTGAACGCACCAGCTTGTATTTCGGTTTCCTATTTCTATGGCATTAAGGTATAATGCAGTTGAAACTCTAAACACAACCTCCAGTCAGACTTACAGCCACTCCCACAAAATTCGTTTTAAAAGATTCCTGCTGGTAAATTACGAACACGAGCCATGCATATCGTGGAAAATGAATAAATAAAAATCCACAGCAGCCCAATAAACTGAGTACTGGTGTTTCAAGAACAATCCATGACTAAAGTCTACTGAAATCCCCAGGTCACATTATCATTTTTCCCTACTCAGGGGAGACTGAAATCCATCTGTTATTGGGTACCTCATTTTCAAGTATGCTTTAAAGAAGCCTCCTTTTTCACATCACTGCTGCGAAACATAATCTCAACACCAAATGCTCCAATCTCTCCATGTAGGACCAAGTAAGGTAATGATGGTAAAGTTTAATTTATGGACGTGGAGACAACGTGCTTTTAACATTGACCTGTTTCTAAAAACATCTCATTCTATTCACTCCATGTGGGTTTCTGGGACAACATCGTGTCCAGTAAGAAATGTGGGCCTTCAGACTGACTAATCTCTAACTTAAGCAACTTGAAAGGTTGTTTACAAACAACGATGGGATTAATGCTAGTCATGTTAGGTATTCTCAGGTCGTCAGGACTAGTATCAGTTACACATCCCAAAGTTAAAATTCTTGATCTAGTACGTTTCAGTATACGAAGCCTTTTGGGGAGATGACTCTGACAAACCAAAGCGTTCAGAAATTCAAACAAGCAAAACTGCTGTCTTTCCATTGTTGAATACGGTATCTACCCAATATGCACGCCACTGTTTGGTTTCATTTTAGAGAGACTTTATCACTCCCTTTGGTTAGTTTTATTACACATCCCCGGGGAATTTTTTTTTTTTTTATAATGTTACTGTCTGAAAGTTTCAGTATATTCACATTAGCAAGTTTAAGACAACCAAGTCCCACCAACGAACTAAGAAAAATACTACACATGCTATGTTTGTATCTGAGCACATGAAAACTAATTCTATTACCAACGACTGGGCCTTGCTCCGAGCTGCTTCTCCCAGGGCCCACTGCCGGTGGCATGGCAGTCTCCCTGGCGAAACCAAAGATGTCCTCTGCTGTAACCCAACCCTCAGACCCAGGCACCCCCCACCCCCACCCCCACCCAGCTTTGCTCAACTCACTCCAATTTTACCAGGAGGGGAAAACTCTAGTCAAGCGAAGCAGTGGCATGTGGTATATTTAATACTAGGCGGTCTGTGTAAATATAAATAACACAGCTATTTCGACGCCACAGTAAAAAAAATGCAAGACAAAAATGAAGGAGGAACCAACAAATGATAAAATGAGCCTTTTACAAGCCGCAGGAGAAAGTAGCCTATCAAATAGCACGCATGCCTGGCTCCTTAAAGCAGCACTTACATTCCTCACCAAAATACTCAGATCCCATTAATAGGGCGGCTCGAAAAAGAATCTGGAGGCGATCCTGCAGGGGCAAGGGCCACCTAGCCCGCGTCCACTCAGGTCAGGGCTTTGATGGTGTGTCTTACGCAGCCGTAGGGTGGAGGTACATCAATTTTTAAACCATCTTTAATCAGGACTGGAGACTTAGCGGCAGGTTCACGGGGGAAACGCAGGTTTAATTAAGACCACCATCCAAAGTTCCTTTTGTGACTCGCTCGTAGGTGCGCGCGGTGCGCGGCCGAGCGTCCCGCAGCTCTGCCCTTTGTTACGCAGCGGCCCCCGCGGGCAGGCCCGGCCCACGCCCACCGGCACCTCGGGGCTTCCGAGCCGGACCCCCCCGCCCACGCGGGCGCCTCCCCGCCGAGGCCGGTGCAGGGCGCCCGGCGGGACACGCCCACGCGCACCCGCCCCTCGCGGGCGCGAGGCCCAGCGCCCTCCGTGAGCGCGTCCCCCCCGGACCCGCGCGGGGCGCCCCGGCCCCCCGCCGCCCACCTCCGCCAGAACAAAGTGAAGTTAAAATAGAAACCGATTACCTGGCTCCGCCGCGCCTCGGCCCCCGGCACGCGGTCCGGGC